GAACAAAATGATAAATTCATATTTATACAAAGAAATGTTTACCTATAATCAAATTTAATGTTACATGAATTATTTATAACTCTACAAAGTTAAATTTAATTTAAACAAATAACAATTAAATGCATTTCTAATCACTATTATCAAATATTTATAGTATAAGTACATCTCAACTGGTTGACACCTAGTTTTATTATAATTTATAGTTTAAGTATATCCCAACTATATTGGCACCTACTTAAATCTTAATTATAATTTAGTTATTCAAAAATTATATATTTCAATATTTGTATATCCCCATTTCAATTATTTTATTTTATATATTTGTTCAAAAATTATATATTTCAAATTTAAAATTCGCGGCCCGTGAAGGTGAAACCGGGAAGCCCGTGGGTCACAACTCCTTTTTTATATATTTGTTCAAAAATTATATATTTCAAATAAAATTGTTTTTTTCACGGGCCAGCGGGTTAACCGTGGCCCGTGAAGGTGCAACCCGCGAAGCCCGCGGGTCACACCTCCTTGACCCGTGAACCGTCCGCTTGGGTCATGGGTCGGCCCGTGGTCCCGGATCGATCTGGGCCGATTTTCACGGGTCTGGTCGACCTATCCGTCTTGACACCTCTACTTGTTCCTTCTTTGACTTTTACCTTTCATGCCTTGTTTGGATTGGAAAACTTCTATGGCATGATTCGCTTTTATTTCCCCTTCGTCGGCTTGATCTTCCCTTCACTTTTCTCTTGGCCATCCTCCTTTTTCTCGCCTCTTTTTTCTTCGTAAAGTTCGATCTCGTTAAAAGTTAATAATATTCTAGGCGAACAAAATAAATGAAGTCTAATTTTTAAGATTAAATTCTATATTTTAAAATATGAATTAGCTTTAGTATGCTATTAATCTTTCCTTTATTCACCTATGTAGTTGCTGTCCTTCTCTTTATTGTTGGGAAAAATAAATAAATTGAAGGACTGACTTTTGTATAAATTTTGAGTGGGAGCCATTTGTTTATTTTGAAAGATCATGATTGATTGTGTTCTCTTCCGTGAGAACATCGAAATCATATATTTACTTGTAAAAAATGTGTTTGAGTGAATGAAAAATTGGAGCTCAAAGTGATAAATTTGAAGATATTTTATGTTGGAGGGAAACTAGTTTAAAGTTATCCAACATAGAAAAATAGATAAATGTAATGACCACTTTAAATATGACTACACTTATAGAAGTGTGTAATTATGTGTAGCATAAATGCTCTCTCTAAGTGCGCGCGCAGGAGATGCAAATCATGGACCGAAATAGGATTCGGACCTTGAACTTATGTGTAGGCGCAACCTGCGTATACGAATGGACACATTTTGTCTTTATTTTATTATTTTTCTAAATAATTTTTTTTCAAATTCTTTTAACTCCTAAAACTCATGTAATTATGTCTGTATTAACCGAGATATTAACAGCCGAGTTAATGGTGGTTAATAGCATAACTCCTTGGCGGTTAATTTTCAATTACAACCTATTTATTTAGTCTTCTTCCTCCTTTACAAACATGTGAAAAAACATTATCTCCTTTGCATAAATTTTTTTATCTCTTGTCTGCATACTTAATTTTTACTTTTTGTCAAAGTTTTGGTAGTGATACTGTTTAGATACTAAGTCAGATCATCGAAGTAGCATTTACGGTGCTCAGGCTCTACTGGTTGTATTTTGAAAAAAAGATGCTCGAATTAAACCTCAAACACCTACTGTGAGGAGTGTTTACACAGGCCTCAGTTTCAAAATTCATTCGATTTTTTTTTATTTCCTGCAATTTAGATTACTTGTTCCCTTTTTTTCTTAATATAATTAATAAAACTATTTAATCTGTAATATTTTGATTAACATTTATTTCTCTATTATTATATATTTAATTAAGACAAATTAAACAAAATTAATAGTTTAGTCAAAATCCAACAAATACGGTTGCCGACAACTCTAACGTGACGTGCGATTCTTAACCTAAGTAAATAGAATTAGAACATAGTTTTGGCATGACTTTTGTCTTCAAAAATCCTAACATCCAATCCGTTGCTTGGAAGTTTAGCTACCAATTTTTTATATTATCATTTAGGTTTATGGGACAAATATTTAAAAATTTATCCAATGATATTTGAGGGTTCGAATGAGGAAGAAACTCTATATTATTGTAATAAGTATTACGACCCAACTGAGCATAGTGGCGCGATGGGACTGTCTGAGAACGATTCAATCTTGCATTTGTATTCAAAACAATATAATGGCCACCAAACAGGGGCAGTTTGAGAAGAACTTGATTCATTATCGAATGCATTTGTATTGCACTTCAACAAACGCGACGATCAAATAGAAAGACTTCCACTTCACGTCATATTAATGTCTAATTAATAGATATTTGTTTAAGTTCAAATTTCGTCTTCTATGTGTTTCATCTGTTACTCGAACTCTTCTAGTAGAGAAGAGAAGAGAAAAAAAAAAAACAAATATCATCAATTTGATATTTCGAGCACCATGAACGACAATGTTCTATGTGACACAATTTTATACATTCATTCACGATTGCAACGAAGATGCTCTTCAGGATTATCAATATTGACTATTGATAATCAATACTGATAAATAGCAATATTCGCTTTGAAATCACTTTTTAATAATAAAGATAAATTTGTTATAAATTTATGGGATAATTATTATTAACTATTTATAGATTTTATGTAATTTTTATTGAAACCCTATTTAGGTATCATTATTATAGTAAAAGTGTTAACTATTTTTACATTTTTCTTTTATTCTCTTCTTATTATTTATCTTTTTCCATAGATTTATAACAAAACTTTGTTATTTGAAAAAAGCCTCTAAGGCTCTGTTTGATTGGCGGAGTTTTCCAGGTACATCATAAATTGTACATAAGGGGCTACACCCCTCTCACATGGGGTGTGGGACTCATTGCATAAATTATTTTTTAATCTAAGCGGGTTCTACCCTCATGTGAGGGGGGTGTACACCCCGATGTACAATGTGATGTACAAGTAGCAAGACCGTTGCAACGAAGATGCTCTTCATGATTATCAATATTGACTATTGATAATCAATACTGATAAATAGCAATATTCGCTTTGAAATCACTTTTTAATAATAAAGATAAATTTGTTATAAATTTATGGGATAATTATTATTAACTATTTATAAATTTTATGTAATTTTTATTGAAACCCTATTTAGGTATCATTATTATAGTAAAAGTGTTAACTATTTTTACATTTTTCTTTTATTCTCTTATTATTATTTATCTTTTTCCATAGCTTTATAACAAAACTTTATTATTTGAAAAAAGCCTCTAAGTACAGAAATTTTCTTATCGAATTCATACGGATGCTGATGTGGCGAAATTTGATTTGCCTATTTTTTAACTTTGTTTTTTTGGTTTTTCATCTTCTAATGATTCGACTCCATGTGTGTTAGCATGGTTGAACTTGAATTCTGTCTGCACGAAAAGTCGCCCCTATATTTCTCCCTCACCTTCCTCCCACCCCTATATATACCAACCCCCACCCCATCTCCACCATCAAAATCTTCCAAAAATCAGTGCATACAAATATATACGTCATCAAGATATGGAAAAAACCTCATCAAGAACGATAGAAATCACTGTAATTTCCGGCGAAGACCTGCGCGTAAATCGGAGGCAACCGGTGAAGAAAAACACTTTTGTGATCGTTCAAACCTTCTCATCAAGAACAACAAAAATGGATACAGATGGTGGAAGCTACCCAGTATGGAATGAAAAGCTTGTTATGGAATTACCCATGCATGCAAATTTTATTAATGTGTCAGTTCAATGTAAGGCCTTTTCCAGTGGAAATAAACTCATTGGAACTGCGAGAATTCCGGTTTCGGATTTTTCTGGCGGGTATCTTCCGGAGAATTATCTGAGTTTTTTGAGTTATAGGTTGAGGGATAGGAATGGGGAGAAGAATGGGATTATTAATCTTTCTGTGAAGGTGATAGGGCCGGAAAATATGGGCTGGGCCGCCAGTTGTCCGAGACCGTGGACGAAGGTTCCGGTGGATAACAAGGTTTCCGGTGGGACCGTGGTGGGTATTCCAGTGCCATATAGTTATTGAGATAAGGAGTTTTCTTTGCTTTTTTTGGTAAAACAATATGTAAATAGCTTGACCCTTCTTTTATTTTTGAAACGATTGACGGATTGACTTATTCATGATAAAATTACTCTAGTGCAGTAATAATTCATATTTGTAAACAAGTCAATTATATTTTATAGGGTAAACGTCTTCATCTTTCGTTGTTATTGTGGAAAACGTTCATACATTCCATTTCTTGGCATTTTCATCTTTTATGGCACAAAATGTCATTTTCATCAATTTTCTCAATTAAAAATTGTGAAATGACGAATATAATATTCTCTTTAAATAAAACAAAAACAAAAGAAAAAATTTAATTGCAACTATAGTCCCAAATTTATTTAAAAAGCGCAAATAAGTCTCAAATAAATTATTAAAAAGATAATTAGTGCATAATGTCCATATCTTTTACCGTTATTGTGAAAATCGTCATTACATTTTATTTTTTTAGTATTTTCACTCTTAATTATACGTTTGATTGCGCAAATCATCATTTCCATTAATTTTCATCCAATTTCTCAATAAGGAATTGTAAAATAATGAATATAATATCCAATTTAAATTTAAAAAAATTAAAAAAATATTTCTTTTTAATTTCTAATTCTTTAATAATTTATTTTGTGCTTGTTTGCATTTTTTAATTTCTTTTACTTTTTAAATAAATTTATTTGGGATTCGTTTGCACTTTTTTTAAAAATTTTGGGACTATGATTGTAATTCATTTTTAGCTTTTTTATTTAAATATGAGAGTATATTGGTCATTTTACAATTTTTTATTGAAAAATTGGATGAAAATAAATAGAATTGATGGTTTGCGCAATCAAATATGTAATTAAGAGTGAAAATACCAAAAAAAAAAAAAGGTGTTGACCCCAAAAAATGAACTCAACCGATACGAGGCCCACCATTGCCACGTCAAGAAATAATTCAGCGCGTTTCTATCAGAACATGAGCGGTAGTATGGTTGGATGGAACGCAGGAGGTGTTTTCCAACAAGAGACACAACTGCTCTTGCGCTATCTACAAGAGGTCGATCGATTTTCCTAAAATGAATATCTATTCTGTAATGGAATATGTGAAAGGATAGATAAAAGACAATATCTTGTAATGTGTTATGATTTCAATATAAGTTGTATTATTCAAGATCAAGCAAAGCAAAGTGCATAAATGTGTGCATAAATGAGGGGTCTATTTATACTAATCTAGCTGACATAGTGACCATTAGATCAAATCCACATGGCGACATCCCCTAGACTGAAGCCTCACATCAATGTCCAATCTTTACAATTATGGTTTTGCAGAAGATCCGCCGCTCTACTTTGTAGACTGACTTACTGACACACATTAATGCTACAGACATTTTATGGCGATGTCACGTCAACCAGTTCTGAGAGATCTTCGAATCTGCTATGAGGAAACGTCTGCGTTAAGATTCGGTACTTCGGTCTTCAAGAGCCTCAACTTTCACATGAAGGAATTTCAGATCTCGGAGCCTTTGCTTTCACATGAAGGAGTTTCGGACCTAGGAGCTTTTTGTTGACTTTGCCTGTGTTGGCTCCTTCATTGACTTTTCAATTGGCTTTCTGTCCACCTGGCTAAAGGGAATACGTGGCTGTCCACGCAGACTGCTGACTTGGAGCTTCCAATTCTGGGGGGTAACAGAAGGTATGGACTTTTTTCGCAAAGGTAGGGACATTATGTGTTAATTACCCTTTTAATAATTTATTTGAGACTTATTTGTATTTTTTAAAAAAAAAAATTGGACTATGATTACAATTAATTTTTTTCTTTTACCTTTTGTTTTAAAGCGAAGGGTATATCATCATTTCTCAATTTTTAATTAAAAAATGAATGAAAATGACATTTTGCACAATGAAACGTGGAAATAAAGGTGAAAATGCCAAATAATGAAAGATAAGGACGATTTTCACAATAATAGTAAAAATTTGGGATGTTATGTGCTAATTACCCAATTTGATATTAAGCTCATCTTTGATGCCGTTAAAAAGAGTATTAAGGAAAAATGTGTTTTGGAATGTGTAATTATATTTAGTAATATTGAGGTTATAACTTTAGTCTGAGCGGGTTAATGTGATATTAAATGATATGTGAAATTAAATGGGTGTTTGAGAGACATTATTTTAGAAGAATGTATTTTGAAATAGTAAATTGATGGAGAATGTGTGGTTGAAAAGAATGAAAAAGTATTGATGTATGCAAAATATTATTTAATTGAAGAATGTGTGGTTGAAAATGAGTAAAAAAATGAGAATGAAAATTTTAATGTGCCTTAAATAGGAGCTAAATATCTATCATCTCGCGCCACCTACATTGGACAGTGGGGCTACATAGCATTACTCTTTTGGAGTAGTACTTTTTGGAGATTGTACAATTAAAAATGGTGTAAAACATTTCACTGTAAGAACGTGTGATTAAAAATGAATTTTAGAAAAAAAAGTTTTTGATTAATGATAAACAAACAAGGACTAAAATTTTACACGAACCATCTAGCCACTTTTTTACCTAGATCTATTTAAATTCGTAAAATTTGAAACTTGATCGTCTAATCACATTTTTTTTACACATAAACTCGCTTAGGCTCGTAAAAACTTAACCTTATCATGTGGTCATGCTTTACACTCATCAATTAATTATGCCATGTTAATCACTTCATATCATTTATAATACGAACACCTTTAATTTAGTTGGACCCACTCTTAATTATCATAACATAATCCTTTCATATTCCAATAAATTCTAGTTTAAAAAATTTCCACGTATAGCCATCGTCCACCGTGTTCCACCACCATCTTCCACTACACTTTACCATTAGAAAACAGGGAAAATTTACAGCAACCCGTAGTGCCATATGACTTGGGCTGCACTTTGAAACAAACAAACAAAAAATTTAATACGCACCAATTGTAGTTTCTCATTGAATTGAAAAATATTGATTATACAAAGAGTACACTTTCAAGACATTGAAATGTGTAGCAAAAACGTACACACACTAAAAGAAGAAAAAGAACTATGTGCTGATATACTATTTCAAGTACACAAACAAATGGCAGTGTTGTATTGCCGGGAAGTATGGACGACAACCACCACCACTCAGAAATATCGATTATACTTCTTCACTACCACTTTGATTGCCATTTTTAAGAATGTCGAACTTGCAAAGAGGACACGTGGCATTCATGTACAGCCATTTGTCTATACAGGCAGAGTGAAAATGGTGACGACAAGGGAGTTCACGCAGTTCGGTTCCATCGTCGTAGGCACAAAGGCAAATACAGCATTCCTGAAATCCAATGCAGAGATGATTATCAAGAAACTTCATTTTATTAGTAATGAGAANTTTTTTTTTAATTTTATTTATTTATTTTGTTTTAGATAGGCTAAAGTTGGAATTAAATAAGCTATTTTACTTATTTTGCCAATAAGATAAAGTAACTTTCAAAAGAAGTAACTTAATTTATTTTAAAGTAATAAAAAAGTACATATACAAACATGTTTGGAACAAAAAGTTACTCCATAATTCTCCCATAAAGTCACATCCCCCCCCCCAACACATCAAAGCTGTATAGTATTGGTAAGTAACGCAACCAATGAGCATAAAACAGGTATCACACCAATTGCGCAGTTGTAAAGAACAGTATGAAGAAAGAAAGGAAATCTTGAATGAATTTGTGAAGTTTCGATACACGTGAAGTATCAAAACTCTAATTGAACATACCGCATACTCTAGAGGAAGAACGTGCTCAACAGGTGGTGAATCAGTGTCGCATTCGGTCATTATTCCTCCAAATGATTCTTGAATCTCACCACTTTCTTTGTCAAAATGACTAAATCTCCGAAATTTGTATTTAGGCAGTCTTTCAATGTCTTCCTTTGTCGCTCCTTCCTATTGCCATAAAGAAACAAGTGCCAAATTAATAAATTAATAATGAAGCACCAAGAGGAAAATGCTGTGCCAAATAAGTAAATTTGTAAGGAGAGAGTAATTGATACTTGGCACAACCTCCAACACAGAATCACGACGTACAGACACCTTCCGGACTTTTTGTTCATTTCTTAAAATATAACTATATGTCTCATTATCACAAAAGCATAATTAGAACATTTTATTGGAGATAAACATCAAAATATAAATCAATATCATAAAAGAACTACTGTCATCAATGGAAGTGACAATCCAACTTAAAGTGTCAATAATCAAGATAACTCGGAGAGAACACATGCACCTTTAATTCACTGCCACTTTTTGATCGGTGAACTCGGATTCTAATAGAATGTATGTCATGGTACCATATAGAATTTCCAGGACCTTTCATAAATCATATAGGACAGACAGATTCACTTGTTATTTAGGAAGAAGTGGAAGCAAGTGATGTCAAAAGCGAAATAGGGACATTCTCTCTTTCATTTTAACATAGCGGAAGTAGGAGCGAAGGGAAAGAGAGGAAGAAAAAGTAACCCTTTGGTCCACATACTGGAAGACAAAAGTAGGGCTGGGGGAAATATAACGATAGTTTTATACACTATCATACCTTTTAACATCATCATGTATCCACATTAATTCTACTGCATCAGAGTTTTTATATGTTAAATATAATTAAAATTATTCGACAGATACGTCAATTAAAAAACAGGTGCGATAAAACATAAATAAACTTCACAAAAAGTCTTAAGAAACCATATAAAATGCCAAATTTTATTTCTTTACCACTGGGGCTCACTAGGCCCCTGTTTGGTTTATATAAAATAGATTGTTAATAAATTTTGATAAAAGTTGATGGAATGCGTGACCGAAAAGTTGTGGGTCCAAGAAATGTGTAATTAAAATTAATTGTTAACTTTTGACTTAGATTTTAATAAGCTTTTTTCGCTGAACCAACAGGGACTAGATTTCAAATCGAAACACAAAAGAGGCATGGATGTGAGTTATATAAATTTAACAAATAAATAGATATAAAAACAAA